CAGATCTTCCTGATGTCCCACCCTAATCATCCACAGCATCCTCGCAGCCCCGGTGATTGATGCTTGGTCCTTTGGCTCTGGCAGCAATGGGAGTTGTTATGTGTCAGGAGGGCAGCTGGGGGAAGCTGCCTTGTCCCCAGAGCAGCGCATCTAGCTGCATCTAACCCTGCAAGCTGAGCATGAGAACTGTTAGGCACATGCCTTTGGTTAGATGCTGCTAGACACCCTCTCTTCTCAGCTTTGTAAGGTAAACAAACACCCCATCTCTGTAATAACCATCTAGTTTATTAGACAGTCAGATGAGTCCCTTACCTCATTCATCATTTTTATTTTTATTGTGCAGGCAGTAGATATATGTTTGAATGTGTGTACTTAAGGGACCAGGAATGAGAGACCTTTTTATGAATCTGACCATGTATTTCTCAAAAGGCCATTACTAGGGGAAAATTGTTGCATAAATAATGTACAACTGCAGATGTCCAAGCCCTGTTTTCCTGCAATAGCTCATGACTTCAGAGACACTGCTTTTAAAAATGTTTTAAGGAGTGTTAGATGCAGTCAAGAGTAAGAAGGAACAGTTAGCATTTTAGAGCTGAGTGGTTAAGGTAAAATGGATATTTCTGCCAGTGATTCTCTTCTTTGTGTGTGCATGCATTCCCTATCTTTTTTTTTTTTTTTGCCGTCATTGGATTTGTGGTAATCCAGATTTGCTGTCTCCCAAAGGTTTTGCTCCCCAGCAACAGCAAGTTGGCAAGTGTTACTCAGCTTCTTTGCTGATGGTTGTCTTAAGTCAAAGCTGAGATGGCAGAAAACAGGGGAATGTGACAGTGCCTTAAAAAAAAAAAAAAAAGTTGTAATATTATTGTAGGTCCTGGGAAGGCTGTTTGTGTCCCACTGACTTGCTGTCTTAAATGTTCTCTCTCTAAATGTTCAATATAAGGAAAGAAGGAAAACCTTTTTTCTTTATCTTTCTGTGCCTGCAACCCCCATTAACTCAAACAGGGAACAGGCTTTTAAGTACCCTGCATGTATAATAAATATATGCTTCTTTCTAAGATGACAGCTTAATTTCATAGCTGGCATTAAACCTTCCAGCTTGGCCATAGGTTTTCACTGTCCCTCATAAACTGGGCCTTGGCAACAACAGCAGAGTTTCCAGTAAGCAGTCTGACTGGAACAGGCTGACTTCAGTGTCCTGGAGCTGGGATAGCATTTGATGGTCCCTTCATTACCCGTGAGACTGTCTTTCAGGGTGACAGTGTATGCAAGCTCATGCCAAGTCTCATGCTAGGGGAGCTGATGGTATGGATTTCCCAGCTGATTCTGCTGGCTGTTGAAATACACCCCAACTGTTAATATTCATGTTTATTTTTTAAGGGAATTAAGAGTGGTAGCTTGGAGGAAAGAGCCTCTCTGGGGGCTCGTGCTAGTTATTACTTTCTTCTGCTTAGTAGACAGATGTCACTGAAGGAACTTTCCACAGGGCTGTTGTCAGAGCCTCCACTTAGTGTCAATATGTTTGCTATTCTGATCCCCTCTAGCTCAGAGAAGGTATGGTAGATCTGGAAAGGGTTCAGAGAAGGAGCAACTGGGTCAGCTGGGACTCTTCAGCATGTAAAAGAGATGAAGCAGGAATCTGTGAAGCAGTGAGAAGCAGGGAGGGACTGACTGCAAACTGTTCATTGTTTCATCCTCCGGAAGAACTAGGGTCAGCAAACAAAACTTGGTTCGAGCCAGGTTTAGATCAAACCAAAGGATGTGCTGTGTTCCACACACAACATGTAGTCAAGCCCCAGAACTAGCTGCGGGATGTCATAGTCAATGAAAGTTTACGAGGGGAGGCATGGCAAACTGGTGGAAGGGAAAAACCATTGCTACTCACTAAATACAAACTCTGTGTCTGTCTCTGTGGGTTTCTGATCCACAACTGGTTGAGACATAAAATACATGGGGGAAAGAAGTATATGTTTGTCCTGTTCCTCTGCTTTCCTCTAAGTATCTGCTTTTGGCCATGGTTGGAGGTGAAACAGAGACAAGTTGGGCCTTTGGTTTGTCTGTTTTATGTTCTTCAGGAAGTAATGGAATAGATGGGACTTTCATAGTGGCTACTTCTAGCTGTATGCTAGAAATGAGAAACATCCAATCTCCCTGCTATTTCAGTTGTTCTGCTCTCGTTGCTAATGACGGGCCACTGGTGACGATGGAGGATTTTGCATCATTACATTTGTTTTGATGTCAACTGAACAAAACGTGTAAGATTTGTTTCACTCAGCCTTTAAACACCCTTCAAACAGGAGTGACTACCAGTTAGATCTGTATTCTGGCAGTAAATGCCATGACTATTCAATTTCCACAAATTTCTGTTAATATGTGCAGAGAATTTTTTGCCATTTTTTATGGCATATTACAAACGTGTGTAAGTTTGTACACTTATTCTGTGTAAATTGCATACCTAACTGCAAACATATGTAAAATGAGGTACTAACTCATTAAAAGACATTTATTATTTCTTTTGTTTTCTTTCTTGATTTCAATAAAAGTGGCATATTTTTTTTGTCCTGACACACAAAAAAACCACTTTTTTTTTTTTTTCAGAGACATTTCTAGTGCTAGTTTTGCAAGACTCAAAGGACTTGAGAGATCTTAGTTTGACTTTGTGCACTCAGGAAGCTCTGGGGATTTAGACAGAAAAATTCCTGGAATGTAGTTCTCTTCAGCAGAAGGTTTTTTTTTTTTTTCTTTTGCTTCTTATATTAAATGATGATAGGGAATTCTGCCCCTGGTTTTGCTTCCCCAAGCTGCAGGAATGATCCTCCTCACCTGAGGGCCAAGGTGTGAATTGCTGTCGGCAGACCGCAGGCAAGCGGGGGCCCCTCGTGATGTAAGTGGTTTGTTAAGGAGCCTGCAGGCCTCTCGCTCAATGACTTCTCTGTCCACGTACAGCTTGGGAACAGTCACGGAGCTTTTTTTTCAGATGTGAAATCTGTCAGCAAAGTAAAGTCAGCTTAAATATCAGCTGAGGCTTGAGCTCCCTTTCAGTTTTTGTTGACTTTATCCCCTTCTGCTCCTTCCCGATCAAGTTTCTCTCTGCTTGAGTCAGACTTGCCGACACTTAAAAGTTTTTATTCTGTGTTTCAGTTGTGTGGATTTGTGTGTGGCAAAGTTCAGGTGTTCTTCACATTCCCAGCCTCGACAGTGATCTGAAATGCTGAGAAGAGGGAGACCATTCTGGGTCTCTGAGACGCTTTAGCTGCTACAGTTCAATTAGAAACCAGTAAAAGTGCTTCTGGTACCCAAAGCATGCTGTACTCAGGTGACGCTGGTGCAGACCTGTGGAACTGTGTGTGTTGTACCTGCTGCTACCAAGCTGAGGAATTCTAGCTGTGAATTGGCACCGCTTCTGTTCCCCAAATACGGAACAAAAATTACTCTATGCATGAGAATTTATCACCAAAATATAAGACATTACTGATGGTGTACAGACAGGCAGGCAAAATACACGGAAACAGTGAGCGTGTGTTAGTTGTGTGCTGAGCCTGTCCCGGGGGCAGGATGCTGAGGTCATGCCATGTCTACTGGCTGACCGTGCAAACATCTGCAGGTTTGGGAAGAACTTGTGGTGTCATTACCTGTCAGTGTTCAAGCATTTTATGTATTGAAAGCTTGAGGGGATTCTTGGCTGTGGCAAGGAATTTCAGATGTAGTGGCTTATTTATAAAAAAGAAAAAGCAGAGTAAACGGCAAGGGAGAGGAAAGCTAGGGAAGGAGAGAACAGCTGTTCCTGCTTCTGGTTTTTGTCACTCTCCTAAGGATAAAAGTTAGGAGTTATATTGTTGGGTTTTTTTACCCTAGACATGTTTTAAACCCCATGATTAGCTGCCTTGACTGCTTTCTGTCCTACATGCACACTTTTTTTTCTCTCTGTGATACCTTCAGTGGTTTCCAAAGTTGAAATAATATTCCTACTCCTCAAAGGGCCAAAATGTTTGAAGACTTGTAAATGAGAACTTCTGGCTGTTGAGCCAAATAGGTCTTAATGTCCTGTGGGTGCTCTGTGCATCTCTTCCCCCTTTAATGGCTGGTCTATATAAGAGGCAGCAGCCTGGCACCTCTCCATACATTCGTCATGCCTCTGCAGGCAGTGGCTGAAGAGGCAGCGTTAGGGCCGAAGGGGCCAGGCTGACTGCAGAAGCCACTTCTGGGCTTCTTTCAGTTCTTTGGTGCATGCCATCTATGTACACTGTTCTCTGGTTGACAGTGTCTTTGGAAATAACTTTTTCTGTGTAATATGCTACTAAGGGACAGGGTCCTACCTGCCCCTCGGTAGGAAGCAATGTTGGGTGCCCTGTGTTTTCCAGGGGAGGACAACGGTGGAGTGTGCTGGAGGGGTGATGGCAGTGTGGGTAGAATGGGATATCCCATTCTGTTCCCTGCCAAGGCGTGTGCAGGTGCTCTCTGCACTGGATAAGGCGGTGTTAAAATATAACCTGCTCCTCTTGGGATCGTGTTGGAGAGATGCTATTGAGAGGGAAGTGTGCATTGCAGTCTGGAGAAAGAGACAGTGGGGCAGAGCAGGGTGTTTGCCTCCGTTTAACTGGAAAATACAAGTCACAATTTAGGATCTCTCAATATGTGAAAACATCATCTGGGAAATGCTTACTCCGTGACTGCAGTAATGGTGAGTTATTGTTATCTGATAGCTCTGTTCCAAAACCTAGGTGAACAGAACAGTTTTTCCTGCTGTTCCTGGCTTGCTGGGCACTTGGCAGTCAATGTCTATAATCCATAATCTTCTTGTATCACAGCTAAATGTAGGAGGAAGCTCTTGACCCAGAAGTCCCTGAGTCCCTAGGGGTGTAGACATACTGGTGTTTGCTGAGAAGGAAACAGACACAAAGGTCTCCTGATGTGAAGGACACCGATACACTGCTGAGCTGAGGAAGGTGGTCTCGATTTGACTTTTTTTCTCCACCCCCTCCAACCTCCCTCCTGTCTTCCAGAGAAAGTTCACTCCTGCGACCAGGAAAGGCAGAGTGCCCTGGAGGAGGCCAGGCAGAACCCCCGCGAGGGTATCGTCATCCCCGAGTGTGCTCCCGGAGGGCTCTACAAACCAGTGCAATGCCACCAGTCGACTGGGTACTGCTGGTGTGTCCTGGTGGACACGGGACGCCCCCTGCCTGGTACTTCCACTCGGTAAGAGCTATAGGCCTGGTGAGATGAGATATAAAAAAATACTTTTGCCATATCAGTTAAGTTCCTACTTCTAGAGCAGTCCGCTCTGTACTGCCTGCCTTAGAGCTAGCAATGCCATATATGATGTTCCCTATTGAATGTTACTATGCAGCTTCCTCTCTGTAGGAGCTGGTGGATAGTAACTACTACCCTTACTTTCCTCTGTGTTAAGTATTCATGCAAAGCAGCCTTTTTTTCTCTAGCTTGCTGCTTTTGGGTGGTAGCAGGAACCAGGGCTTTGCTCAAGAGTAGAGGGGGCATGAGCAGTGAAAAGACAAGTGGCTTTGTTGCATTATCCTCTGCTTTATACTTCCATGCTGCAGCCACTTGGATCCTGACCAGTAGAGATTCAGAAGACTGCTTGCTTGTGCATTGATAGATTTTAAGCCAGTGATAGATTTTTCTTTAAGTTACCCTGTATCTTAAAACTACCTGGGGAATCTTTTCTCACTTGGGGCTTGGAAACAAATTGTGGGTCTGGCAAGTTATAAAACCAGACCAGGAGGAGCTGGGACCTAAACTCTGCTAGATACAGTGATTCTGTAGAGCATGGACAGCTTTGAAAAAAAGCTCAGCCTGTGCCCACAAGAGTTGGAAGAAGGCCTTGTGCTGTTTGTGGGTTTGGGTTGGTAGCTGGTACTGGACTTCGGAGTATGCTCTTCCTTCTCTCTCCACTTGTGCTGCTGTTGCTGACTGTCTATAAGCAGACAGATGCTTGAGAATAATATTTCTTCTGCAGGTTTATTGGTTTCCCCTGCAGTAAGCAAATAACACAAACCCCTTAGCAACCATCTGATGACACTAAAGCTATATCACATAGTTTAGCATCTGCTGTTCTCCTTTTTCAGCTATGAGACTCCAGTGTGTGAAAGCGATGCCAGATCGAAGAGCACAGAGATTGATGATCCGTTCAAGGACAGAGAACTTCCAGGTCAGAGAGGAACAAGATCCTGTCTCTGCCTTCTTCCCTTGTCTCAACTTGGGACTCTTAAGAGGCCAAGAATATTGTTGAGGAGATGGGAGATTTCCCTCACTGTGCATGTTTTACCATGGGTTTTGTTCTGTGTCATTTTGGACCACCTCCAGTTTCATCAGTGAACTGGAAAAGGCTGGGAGTGTCTTGGGGGCTGGTTTATTACCTGTCTGCCCTTTGGAAAACATGTCTGGGATCAGAATTTTCAGGAAAGAAACCTGGATGCCTGGAGGTCCCCTGGGGGAAGAACGGGGTCAGCACTGAACGTTCTTCTTCAAAGCCTGGCCAGGACAGGATCCTTTCCATTTAGCAGGGCTTTTCAGCAGCTTGGTGCCCCCTGAGTAACGAAAAAGGACACAGCTGGCAATTGTCAGTGGACCAGCTGGCTCCCTGACACTGCAAGGATCAGACAGGGCAGCGTTCCTGGCGCACTAAGGTCCCTTAACTAATGCTGGCTCCTCACTTAGCTGGACTTAATCCTTCATTTTCTGCCTGAGACCTGCTTTATCTCCCATTTCTGCTTGTTTTATATTCTGCTTTTCCCTCTTAACAGAGTGACCAGCCATAGTTTACTGTTTGTCTACCTTGCTTCTGCTAGGAAGATATGCTGGGCATAGGTGTCTGTGCAGCTCTTAAAAATGCTATCCTACCTGCCTGTGCTCTGTTTTTTCCTTCCCAGTGCCTTTCTAAGGAGCAGAGTGAGGGGCCCTCACCAACAGGTCAGCCATTGCTCTCCTGGGTGGGGGCTGACTGCTGGAAAACAGAAGTCCCTCTCCACCATGAGGGAGTGGTAGACACCAAGAACTCTGCAGAAAGATCTGGTAGCTCTGGATCCACTTCATTTTCTCCTGGCCCTTTACAGGGCTAGCATAAAGTGAGTTGTCCCTGAGCAGGTTAGCAAAGGAAATGAGACTTGTTCCAGATTTGCCTTCTGTGTCTCCTAATTCTCCTCCTGCCAGCTCCTCATTTTCACAAGTCATGTAGAAATTTCCTATCTGCCTCCCTCTCACATTCGAATGAAATTGGCCAATTGGTTCAAGTATTACTTTGGGGGGGTAGGAGGAGGGAAACCAGCTAAATGATTGCATTAAGGCTCATTTCCTTAGGAAATCATGCTAAAATATAATAACCTTACTTCCTTTCTTCCCCATCCCCTTCTCCCCTTTTTTACTGCCTCTCCGTGCACCTCCCCCTGCCTCTCCAGGACTCCTCTGTGAAAATCCTTTGCTCTTGGGCTTTTTCTTTGAGATTTTCTTTCTGATCTCTTAGGATGACAGAATGGTTTCGTTTCCTTTCTCCCTCCACTTCTGCACTGCAGCTGCTGCTGGACAAGGGAACAAGAACTGCTTGACGCAGAAAAGGACACATGATGCTGTGTAGCTTAGTGGTCTGGTCCCAGCATCAGACTCCAGGAGAGCTCCCCTCTCAGCTCAAGCCACTTTTCTGTGCCTGAGTAAACTTTCAGCTCTGTGCTTGGCTGCATTGGCTGGCATGATGGTTCCTGCCACTGAAAATACCCTTGTCTATGGAGAGACTAGGAGATGGAGGGTCTGATCCTGGTTTGTCTGCATGAGAGATGCTGTGCTGCATGATCTTTTGATGCAGACTTGAGGTTTGTTTGATTAGCTGCTCTTGAATGCAGAAATTCACTGCTGAGCCAGAACTGCAGGGGGTGAGAGAGGATGTTTCTTTTTACTTTTTTTCCACTCTTATTTCTTAGCAGAACTGAATTTTAAGAAAAAACCCTGCTCCAATTTGAGACTGATCATTCCATTTGCACTCAGTTCTGTAAGGGGGACTCCTTACCTTATTCCCCTTCTAAAGGTTTGCCTATTCTTCAGACTTTCAGTGCTGCAGGCAGCATGCTCCTTAGCCTGTGTGAAGAGACCCTGCAGAGGCTAAGGTGGGGGAGACAGAAGTCCAAGTCCTCGCACACATACACATACCCTCTTCACAAACTGTGTCATGGCTGTGGCTAGAAGAAAGAAAGAAAGAAGGAAGGGAAGTGTTGCTTGCACATGGCAAATGGCAAGCTGCTAATTCCTGCAGACGGTGAGATGCTGAGGCCCCAGGGAGATGACTTCTAGCAAATGGTTTTTCAACCTTCTCATTACTGCAACAAAAAGCTCCTTTAAGTGAGTGGTCTACTCTGGCTGCCATAGCAGTTTACCCATTACAATGCTGACATTTTCTGGACCATGTGCCAAACGAGTGCTGAGGGGTGTGCGTGTGTGTCATGCACATAATATGGAGACAGGCGAGGGACTGTTGGTTAGCTATTGCAGAGAACAGAGCCTGAATAGTGCAAAGGAGGGAGTTTTGTCAGATCAATTTGCAAGCTGCTTTCAGCTGTCAAGGGATTGCAGTAAGTTTCTGGTGCTCTGTTTGGGGCACATGTGCTTCTTCGCTTGTCCAGGAAAAGCAGAAAGTGTTGACACTGCTATATGTTGCTAGGGGGAGGCTGTTTTCTGATGTCTGCTGCCTTAATCAGCTGACTAACTGGTAGTGAATGTTGGTTTTGGGAAAAAGAAGAGGTAAGGGATGTGGTGGTGGCTTCTCTGTCACATCAAGAGAAGACAACAAGGTGGGAGGTGATGGAGTTTGGACGATGGTTTTGGAGATGGTGGGTGGAAGTTAAGTGTGCTTGTTCCTTGGTAGGCTAGAGCAATTGTTACAGTATTAATGTGGTGGTAAATGAAGTATGCTTTTACTCCGTTAAGAAGGAAGGAAACGGCATAGCTCGCCTCATAAAGGTGAGGAGATGGAGAATTTCATCTCAGCTGTGTCATAACAGGCTGGCACTGTTAAGGATAGGAGGCTCTGTCAGTCTGTGGTTATGATGGTGGGGAACTAGACGGCGTCAGGACTAAGTAATGGAAATGGTTACCAAGCTCGTCTTCAGCCCGCTTTGTCCCGCTTAAGCCAGCAGTGACTGGGGACGATTACAACGTGTTGACTTAGACTGACGTATTTCCCATGCAGTGTGATCATGCAAAGAACTGAATTATTGTGGTAGCTGCTGGCAGGCAATGCTCTCTGTGCCTGAAGAGGAGAGTGCAAGCAGCGGCGCTCGCTTTGGCCCGTGCTTTGGGAAGTTTTAAGCCGTCAATTAGGACCTCAGAACAGCCATGTTTGCAGAGGAAGATGACCCAGGAGGTAATGAGTTGTTTTGTAAACTTCTCTGCAAGTGTCACCATGGGAACTCCATCTGCCAGGCGCTTCCAGCACATCCCTGTGGTTATGCTGGTAGGGAACTGGGAGAGGCTAACCACACGGTCTTCCTGCCAGATATTGTTGGTGACCCTGTGTGTGCCTGGACAAAAGCTGCAGGACAAATTGCCACGCAGAGAAACCCACTGAGGGATTCTTTTGCCTTTCCTTAGGGACTGATGATGGCAGCCATGTTACAAACAAAGGAGGTTCTGGCTGATCCTTGCTGAACTGAGGTAGGAGACCAATCCTGTGTGTTCTTGCATTAAACCTCCTCTTTTCTTTCTGCAGGCTGCCCAGAAGGGAAGAAAGTTGAATTTATTACCAGCTTACTTGATGCTCTGACTACGGACATGGTACAGGCTATTAACTCAGCAGCACCTACTGGGGGTGGGAGGTGAGTCCAGAAAGCACTTGGGCTGAACACCACCAAGGTGGCTGCAGAGCTCTGGGTGCCCCTGTGGTGGGAGCCGGAGGGAAAGGTGTTGCTCTGCGCCGATTCGGGTTCCTCTGGGTTGCTGGGAGAGGAGCTGAGGCTGCATCTTCAGAGGCTGCTCCGTCCTGTCATCCTAGCCCTGCCTGCCTCCTCCCGCCCCTCCTCCCTGGCAGCTGCTCCACCATAAAGGTTAGTATAGCCCATTTGAAGTGTGAAATGAGAGCTCAGTGGGAGGAAGTGGCTTGTTCTTTTGTCCCCTGGTGCATGAAAAGACCTAATAAAATGCAAATGGATCGAAGGAGACCGTGTGGCCTAGTGGCTACCACAGGGAGTGAAGAATGCGAATCAAATTCTTGGCAGTATCAGCACTGTGGTTTTGCTGTAGGGCGGGAGCCAGCCTGCCGATGAGGAGAGGAGCTGTTTTTCATGGCCCTCCCCTCTGACTGGCTGTCTGTTCATCCCTCTTGGAAGGAGCAGCAGGTCAGGCCTGTTGAAAGAGGTGGGCAGAAGTCAGCGTTTCTGGGGAACTGGAGAAAAGCTGAGGTCTTGTCTCCCCCTTCTGCTTGATAACAGCAAATCCCCTCAGTGCAGCAGCTGCAATGCTGCAGCAGGACAGGCTGTCGAGAACAGACTGTGATGGACTTAAAAGAAGTGCTATATTGCCTCAGCTAGGCAAGGCTTCTATGCTTCTGGATTCCCCTGACAATAAAAGGAGTCAGAGCTAGTTTAGCTCGCAGGGATGCCACAGCAATACTGTGCTTGTGTTCATAGGGGTGTAGAGATGAAGGAGGTGCCTCTGTGCATGTGTTACTTCTGTGGGTATTGCTCCAATGTATTGGGAGTGATGCTGATCCCCTGCTTTCCTCTTAAAAATGTAGAAGGAAGCAGTGCCATCTTTAACTACTCAAGACAAAAAACTTCCTGGGTGGCACCTCTGTGCCTCTTGGTTTCAGGATGGAGTGCTCATGAACCCATATGGTTTTAACTTTGCATTTGGACCTTACAAATCAGGCTAGTGGCTGAGTGCCTGCACGCTATTCTGTAACCCATCGAATTAGCAGTATATGCCTAGCATGTCTGTATTTATATAAACAGGACAAAAAATGCCCCAAGGATGGGAAATACGTCGTTCTCTCCCAGCCATAAGCATTCCAATGTCAATTCTGTCTAATTTGCATGGTTCAAATGCAGTGGGTAGGGGTGGCGAGGAGCCCTGGAGAGTATTTGATATTTATTTGGCATCTTTAGCGCAGGGACTGAAACCCAGCCAATGTAATCATCACTCTTAAAATAAAGCTTAATATAAACCAATATTGTAGAGACCAGAGATGTATGCCCCCACTGCACTTCTATAAACCAGCAGGCTTGCTTCCTAATGTTCCCCAAGCTTTGTGTATTTCTCAGCTTTCAATAGAGGCCTTTCTGGTAGAATTTTTCACTGCCCAGCTCTTCACACAGTCGTCATGTTGATTTATTTTCAGCTCCAGTGTCGGCAGCCCCGTTGCAACGGGGAAAAAAAAATCTTTTAGCAGGCTGTCCTTTGTGAGGCGAAAGACTGCTACCACCCAAATACTCTGCCTGCCCACAGCCATGATTAAATTCAGGAAACTGCTTTGGCATAAACTTCCAGGGTCTAGAGAAAAGTCAGGGGTAAACAGGGTCTAGAGAATAAGTCTTACGAGGAGCGGCTGAGGGAGCTGGGGTTGTTCAGTCTGGAGAAAAGGAGTCTGAGGGGAGACCTTATTGCTCTCTACAACTGCCTGAAAGGAGGCTGTAGCGAGGTGGGGGTCGGTCTCTTCTCCCTAGTAACAAGTGATAGGATGAGAGGAAATGGCCTCAAGCTGCGCCAGGGGAGGTTTAGGTTGGATATGAGGAAAAATTTCTTCACCGAAAGTGTGGTCAGGCACTGGAACAGGCTGCCCAGGGAAGTGGTTGAGTCTCCATCCCTGTGGAGGTATTGAAGACGGGTAGACGTGGTGCTTAGGGACATGGTTTAGTGGTGGACTTGGCAGTGCTATGTTAACGGTTGGACTCAATGATCTTAAGGGTCCTTTCCAACCTTAACGATTCTATGATTCTGTGATTCCATGTGCATCAGCTAGGCTAAGCACATACCCCAAAGAACATGTGTCAAGCTTTTCCATTCCACGATGCCATGATGGGACCATTTATTTTGCAAAGAAAAGCATTTCATGGAATTTTTGGTACTTATATAAAAAATTAATCAGTACAGCTTTCATTTCATATGAGTTTGCAGAGTTGGGAAGCTGTCTCTCTGCAATGAGTCCTGCTTTCCAAGTTTCCTGAGGGGAGGAATGTCCCGAGTCCTCTCTGCAGGAATATCTGAAATAGTCTGGGTGACCTAACTTGACTTTGGCACTGGAAATGACAGCTCTTTTCCAAGACAACAGGATATTTTACCTGTAGGGTTAATAATTTCCAGCCTTAACAACTAACAAAATACTGAATTTATGACAGTGCTTATGCTGTATCTCCCTGGCCCAGGTTTGCTGAGAAGGTCATGTTGAAAAGAAAAGCTAGAGATCTGGCTATCTGTTTTTTCTTAATGTCAGTCATGTCAATTTTAATGTCTTAATGTCAGTTTCCTTACTTGCGAGGCAAGCTTCACTTATTGCAGGCTCTTCTCCATCTTTACCATAATGATGGCAGAACAGGTTCTGTATTTAAACATACACTGGTTCCCTTTGTAGCCTTCCTCTTTCTGTTCCTTTACAGTGTTCAGCATTTCATCCTTCAGGGCCTTTTTTAGAGTTTGAACAATGCATCCAATGATCTAAGGTAAATTTTTAACATATCACCAGCAAAGCTTATGCCTGTCGCGGAGGGCAGGCCAGGCAAACAGCAAGCCGTACCCCCATGTCACTTGGCCCCATATATTGTCCTATGTATTTTAATCAGAGAAGCAGCCAGTAGGCTTTTTAGGGAAGGAGGGGAGTATTCCTGTTTCTCCGTGGCAGCAGAGAGATGATACTGGCATACAATACATATCTTTAGTATCAACATTAAAATATAGGACCAAACGCAGAGAAGAGCCTGAAAAAGCCTAACAGTGAGAGTCTTAAGGAGCTCAGCCTTCCTTAGGGTATTAAAAGAAAGAAAAACAAACAAACAAACAAAAAAAACCCAACAAAGGTTGAAAGATGATTTCATATAATCTGAGTATCTCCATAGGGACAAAAGCTCTGCAGGCTCTTTAGTCTAGTGGGGAAGAACATGATTAGCTGAATATAAACAAACTTCTGATCAAAATTTCTTTAAAGCAAGGGCAATTCTGAGGCAGAATGAAGTCACGAGGGAGGTGACAGATTCCCTCTCTCTAAGGCTTTCATCTTAGGCCTGATGCCTTTCAGAAAGACTTGCTTTAGTCAAACCCAAGTTATGGTCCTAAGAGTAATTTGAGTCACATTCTGTGAGTATGATATACAGGAAATCAGATTAGATGACCCTGTCAGTCTGAATCTGGATATGTGGAGTGAAAACTTCTTGCATTTGCTGAATGTTTTCATCTTGAAGACTTTACCTATTTACGCTGCAAAGCTATCTGGCTTTGCAATTAACGTCTGTATTAGATTTTTTTTTTTTTGGGGGGGGGAGGAGGAGCATGGGGAGAAATGATAGAGATCTGCATTTAAAGTACTACATAGAGCTGTGCTAAACTGCACACTTTATACTGGGCACACACAAAAACAATCTAGTAGCAGCAAAGTGAGGCTGTACAACTTGGATTGCTGCAGGCCATGTAAGTAAAACCTGATAAGACTTTTTTTTTTTATTGGGCATGCTTAAAACAACCTTGTAATCCCTTATAGGTCTTGTCTCGTTTAAGCAAGTTCAAAGCTATTGACTTTAATTGAGTTACTCTTGCTTTACAATAATGTAAATGAGATGAGAACTTCCCTTCCTCGTGGCCCTGGTTTATATTACAGCAAAATAGCCAAGTAGACTTTATTTAGACTTTTGAAACAGAAAATCTCTGGTAAAATTCATTCTTAATTTTAAGTTTATGTAATAACTCCAAGGCACGTCTTGTTACTGTATGTTTTCAAAGTAATTAAGGGAGCGCTTGTAGGAAATTGGTTTATTAACCAGTGTTTGGTATCCTTTTTGAAAAGACGCATACTTGAAATTGTTCACGTATAAATCCTATATAATAGGAGCAGCACTTCTTAAAATTTAGACTTTGCTTTAGTACATTTTAGTCTATTTTCTAATTCGGACATATTCATATCACACCAGGCCTAAACTAAAATAGACCAAAGGCGATCCCAGCCTGGGTTTCTCTGATCTGAAAAACTCTCTTCGGTCCCTGCAAATTCAGAAGTGAATTTTAGTTGCCAAAATGTGTGCACTATGGCTTGCTACAGTATCAGCAAAAATATTAATGCTCTGTGGAATTTTGGGTTAAAAGGGCAGCTTACAACAGCCACCCTTATCATGTAACACAGCAGCTGTGTCCCTTCATTTTAAGTTGCCAATTATTCCCCATGTAATAGCCCTAAAAAGTACTTCAGAAAATTGCCCCCGAGGTTCCCTTTCATGCTCTAGTTGAGCAGCTTGAAGCAGGCAAGCACAGCTCAGCACATCTCCAGGGTGTTCTGAAGCCGAGCCATGTTTTAATAAAGATTGACACTTTCAAACAGTGCGAGGAAGTTAATGCCCAACTCCTATTGCATTTCAATTGAAGTTGGATACCAACTTCTCTTTGTGCTCCTATGGAAATTCTAGCCTAATTAAAGATACAGGAGAGTTCATGTAAGAGGAGGATCTTTGAACAGTCAATGAGGAGTGAAGGGAGGTGATTTTTAAACCTTCTAAATGATTTATCCCACAATCTCCAGAAGAAGTTATGTTCAGAATAATGTTTCATACACAACTTAGCTGGAGGAGAGGAAGAAACTGGGCCTGTAATAGGAAGATAACTGAAGTTTTAACTGTAGAGG